GAACAGTGCCTAGCTTAGCTTTGAATTTGGAAGGAACTAGTCTGTGCTAGGTATTATATTAAACATGCTATAGCAAATCAACATTCAAACTGGGCACAATGGGAATCCCAGCAACACAGAAGGTTAAGGCATGAAGATCAAAAGTTCAAGACCAGCCCCAGCAACTTAGCAGGACCCTATCTCAAAATACAAAATAAAAAGGGTTGGGAATGTATCCCAGTGGTACAGCAATCCCCAGGTGCAATCCCTAGTATCCCAAACAAAACAAAACACCAAATATTTACTAAGCAAAGTATTTATATAATAAAAACACTGTCCTAGGGCTGGGGTTGTAGCTCAGTGGTTGAGCGCTTGCCTTGCATGGCACTGGGTTCGATTCTCAGCACCACATCAAAGAATAAATAAATAAAACAAAGATATTGTGTCCATCTACAACTAAAAAAAAAAAAAGAAAGAAAGAAAAAGAAAATACTTAAAAAAAAAAAAAAAAACACTGTCCTAGGCACTGGGAATATAGCATTAATAAAATAGGCAAAACTTCTTGCTCTCATGGAGCTTACATGTTATCTCATATGATTAATATCCACAGCAATCTTATGATATAGATATAGAGGAAAGAAGAAAATTAAGCCTCTGACAAGTCAAATTTTCCTATCTGTAGGTGTTTTTATTTATAAGGTGAAGATAACATTACCTGCCTAATAGAATTGTTATATTAATAAAAGTGTAAAGCATGTCTAAGTTACTTTATTAAAATATTCCATAACTTGTCCAAGGTCACACAGCAAGTAGAGGGCAAAGATGAACATTAGAGGAGAAATGGAGCAGACAAAGAATACTGAATCAGTTGAGCATCTTAGAGTTGAGTTGTTCTTGGAACACTAGGACTGAGGAAGGAACAATTTTCCAGGGGGGATTATGACAGATGACCTAGGTACCACCCAATTTGGAAAATCTCAGAGATGCAAAGGAGTCCTGGAAGCAAACAGGACAATTATTGTTCTGCCTGCCTGGTAGGAGGGACTCTCCTAGAGGAGAGGCCACTGTCCCATCCCCCACCATCCACTTAGTTCCTTAAGGGAGTCAAGTACAACGGATCAGAAGACATGACTCTAGAACTTTAATTTGTCACTTCCCTTGTTAGTTCTTTCTACTGTCTCCTATCTTTCCTGTCAAAGCCCACAAAATGGTACACTGATCTTATCTTTGGCAGTATCAATAAAGAGGAGTAATAAAAAGGAGACAGCGTTCTACTCCTCAGGCAGGCTGAGAGAAGAAAGAGAAAGGGATCAAGAGGAGACCCAAGTAGGCTGAGTACTTGAAGCCACATCAAAGACAAAGGAGAATGTAGAATTAAGGTTAGCCAAAGGGGCTTGGACCTGAGCTGAGCAGAAGTCCTCAATGGGTCACAGTATTACAGGAGCTGGAGTTCACTGAGACCCATTTAGAAGATATCAGGGCACAAGTGACATCATCTAGGACCTTTCTCCTCCAGCTCTCCCCACCCTGCTCTTTCAGGAAAACTGAATGAGCTTTAACGTTTTGATTTTGAGAGAGAGGGAATTATTGATTAAGGTGGAAAAAAAATTAAAACATTATTTGGACATAAAAATTAATGTTTATTTGTGATACCATTGGACAACTTGCTAGCCATTCTACATGCATTATCTAATCCCCCCAATCTCACAAAGCACTATTTGTCATTTCTATTTTAAAATGAAACTAAAACTGAGAAGTTACCTCTGTTATATGCTCTTGTTGTGCTCTATACTTTTGTATAATTACCTGTTATTTTTATTTGCTTTTTATGGTGCCAGGGATTGAATTTGGGGCTTCACACACATGCTAGGCAAGGGCTATAAACTAAGCTACAAACCCAGCCTTGATTACCTGCTTAAGGTCTGTCTTCTGTGCTAATAACAAGAGGGTAGAGACTTGTCTTGTGTTTTCTTCAGTTCATTACTGGCATGTAAACACTATGCCTGGCACCAAGAAGATTTTCAATAAATATGCATGGAAAAAATGAATGCAAGAGGCCATGTGACTTGTTAAAGGCCATACTGAACATGTTAGTACCAGGATTTGCGTCCTGAAATGTGCGGCTCCAGAACATGTCTATGAACTTTATTTACTCTATCAAGTACTTTCATATATTGTCTCACTTCTAAATGTCCAGGCTTGGTGTCCTTGTCTTCAACTGTTTATGAGTACTCACACACATACTCAAGAACTCATCTATTCAGGAAAAGCTGGGGAGAGAGTAGGAAAAAGAAAGAGCCCATCTGGGATTCTGCCCTTTTCTACCCTCTTCAGCTCAGCATCATCCTTCTCCAATAAGCCCTTGTGGGCAATTTCACCTGCCCTCTCCCTCTCCTCTGATCATAATGGCCTTTCATGTATCTATTGCATGAAAGAGGCTCCAAGGGGCTGAGGCTGTGGCTCAGTGGTAGTGCACTTGCCTAGCACATGTGAGGCACTGGGCTCGATCCCCAACACCACATAAAAAAACAAAGATATTGTGTAAAAAAAAAAAAAGTGGCTCCAAATCACCTGGACTCTGCTGGACTCTGATGATTCTGTCTTGCCTGTCAAAGCAAGTGTTTACATATATTAGTAACTTATTAAAGCAATTTAATTCCACAATGTTTACTGAAAAAAAAATGTGTTCTTAAGCCTGCTTATGCCAGGCCCAATGAGTAGACACAAAGATGAATCAGACACAACCTCAAAGGAGGAGGAGGAGGAGACAGACATTAGGCTCTGATATAATTTACTACAACACAAAACATGATGACCTAAGTGGTATTAACCTATGAGCAATGTGCTATATGAATAAACCTTAATTGTTTAATTATTATTCTGAAGAGTGCATCATAGAAGGTCAGAGCTCAAAGGTATCATCTAGTTCAAACCCTTGTTTTCTTGTGGAGGAGTCTGAGACCTAGAAAGGTAGCGCTTACCTAAAATCTCACCAGTCTATCCAGCTGAGCTAAGACTAGACTTCAAGGTCTTCTGAAGCCCAGCCCTGGGCTCTTTCCTCCTCTGATAACTTCATCTGCAACAGTCTCTTAACCCACCAGACCATGAGATCCTCAAGGCAGGTTATCCCTCCTGAATTAGGGCAAGGCAAGCCCAATACAGTCAGAAGCTCAGGAAGTACACTCTAACCTATGGATGACAATTCAGTCTTTTTTGTTTTATTTTTGGTAGGGAGGATTGAACCTGGGGACATCTACCACTGAGCCACATCCCCAACTCTTTTTATTTTGAGAGAGGGTCTTGCTAAATTGGCCTCAAACTTTCAATTCCCCTGCCTCAGTCTTCCAGGATCACAGGAATGCATGACCACTGGACCCAATCCAGTTTTCTAATCTACTTCACCTTATGTGCACTCTGCCTGCGCCACTTTGCTTCTAAATTGATTTTCAAATATGTTTTGCAGGAAACTTTTTTTTTAACTCTTTAACCAGAACAACAGTATATAAATCAGATAACAGCAAATTTTGTCTAAAGGAGAGGAGTCCAAAGCCCCACTATTTTCCTACTCTCAAATCTTGGGAAAGGAACTCTAAGGAACACGGCTCAAAAGCAAAAGTCACCCTTTTTCTAGTACATAATGTTTAATGGCTTCATAGAAGTCATTTTAATGTGTGATCGCCTCTGAACCCTGTCATTTATGGGACAATCTTTCTTCATCCATTAATGTGCTTTCAGCAGGGTATGAAGGGGGATGAAATTTTCCCCTAGTCTTTCCTGCCCTCCCCTCCCCACAGAAAGGAGTTTGTCTCAAAGGCGATAAGGACCAAAGAAGGGAGCAACTCCATACTCTGCCAGGAGAAGGACCTTGGAGACGAAATTCATCCACTTAAGAATTATTTACCAGTCTGAGTCTGACAGAGCCTCTAACTTCATTTCCAATAAAGTAGCCAGGCAGTGACAGCAGGGCTTTTACACCCATTCTCTGTTGTTTTCACAACCACCAGATAAGGGACAAATTATTCTATTTTACCAAAGACAGAATTGAGGCTCAGAAAAGATAAACTACGTATTCCCGGGATTGACTAGACTCTTCATTTGGAAAGCCTCTGGAAGTCAGGCACCCTGTCTTGAACGCTGATTTTTCTCCACTACACCTGGCAGAGAGCTCTGCACATGGTGGGCGCTCAATACGTTGGCTCCGCGCTCAAGACCTGGGAGCATAAGCACCAGAGGGCGCCCATGAGTTCGTCCGCCAACCCGCCGCCCCCGGGGCCCATGCCGGACCTCAGGCCTGGGTGCGGTTCTTCGGCGCCAAGCAGCTAGCGCGCCCCAAGCGAGAACTGGGAGCAGGGGGAGCCCCATGATCTCCGTCCGCCCCGCCCCCCTCTTCCCCAGAGTTCGGCGGCGCCGAGCTGATGGGTGCGGAACAACGACACGACATCCTGTTTTTGGGGCCCGCAGCTCCGCCTGTGCCTCTGCTGATCGTGTCTTTCCCCGGGGTGCTGACGCCAGCTCCGCTTTCCCCAGTCTCCCCACCCTCCCCAGGGGTCTGGGGCCTTCCCACTGCTGAATCACCACCATCCCGCACTCCCCTGAGGCTCAGGGTAGGGGTGGGGACTGCCCCAGGCTGACCCATTATAGTTATACTCCAGCCAGCCTCGGCCACGGCTGGATCCCTGGCTTGGCTGAAGGCGCCAGGCCTAGGGTGCCTTTTCACCATTTCCCCGAAGGTTGGTGGGGATGAGACTCACGGGAAGAGAACGAATGCCTAGGTCTAGCTTAGGAACTCTGCGGGGACGGGGTAACCAGAAGGCGGGGAGACCTGACCTTGAGAGGCCTGACCTGAAGGGTCTCAGGGGAACAGGCTGGGGACTGAGGCAAGTGGGAAGCCCAAGACTAAGTCGGGCGCGAAGACAGAGGACACTCGGGTGCAAGGGTGAGGGGGAACGCGCCCGCGGACTTCCTGGTCGCGCCCCGCCCCAGCCTGGCCCGCCCCCGCGCCCCGCCCCGGCCCACCGGCCCGCCCCCCCCACTTCCTCCGGCCTCCCGCTCTCACTTCCTTCTCGAGCCCGGAGCCGCTGCCGCCGCCCCCAGGTCCCCCGCTGCGGGGAGGGCACCAGGTGAGGCCCAGCCTGGGCCGGCGGGCAAGGGTCCTGGGGAGGGGAGCCTGGACCGGCCGGGACCCCGCGCGGGCGCGGGCTCTAGAAGTTTGCCTGCGGGAGGCCGCCGGCGGGAGGTTCTAGGCTCACTCCAAGTTGGGCGGGCGCGGCCAGCCGGGCGGGGCGAGGACCCAGCCACTTGGAGTCGGTGGCGGTTCGGTGAGGGTGGGTTTCCAGGGGCGATGCCGGCTTGCAGAAGCCGCGAGAGACCCCTGAGGTCGGAGAGTCTCTGGCTCCGCGACAGAAGATTTTGAAGTGACAAAGGTTGGAGCTGGGAGTTGGGATTCAGAGGTGGTGTGTCCTCAAAAGTTGTGGGGAGTGTTCAGAAGTGTGAGGGGAGAGGGTCTCTGGGACGGAGAAGGCGCTCCCTCTGCTCTGGCAGTTGACATTTGTAAGGCTGAGATGGGGGCGGTGTATGGGGCCTCTGAAGCCCGACACTGCTGGGAAAGAGCTTTCTCCCTGGAAGATCCGATGCCAATTCAGACTCACTCTGAGGATGCAGCCTAGGGGGTCCCCTGCACTCAGGACGACCCTGCCCTCAGCTGCAGCTCCGCTGGCCCCATTCCTTTTCTGTTTTTCCGAACCCCAACCTCTCCATCCCTGGAGCTAAGCAACAGGTTCTTATTGTAGTAAGCAAACATGTGCTGTGCCTAGTTCACCTAAACGTAGCCTTGCACTTTTGGCGATAAACTGAGGAAGGAAAGGGCCTGCTTTAGTCCTGTGACTGGAGGTGGCAGAACTCATTCAGGACTGATAGTCACTGACAAGTTATAGGTCTCTAGCCTTAAGGAACGATTGGGAATCATCTCCTAGGCTTTTCCCTCCTTAGTTCCCGAATTCTACATATACTGTCTTCCTGCACCCTTTCTTTAGGGCCTACCCACTTTCATCCTCTTCAGTCTCTTCCCCTACACACACAGATATGCCAAGGCCCAGACCTTACTCTTAGCATGTCCCTCTGTTCATCTTGGTTTCCTACAGACTCCCTCTTTACTTTTCTTCCCAACTTCTGGCAGCCACACCTTTCACCTCCCTCATTGCTCTTGATCTCTCAGCCTGCACCTTCTGTCTGTCTCCTTCCGTTTCAGCTACTTATCTCCAGCTTCAGGATCAGGAACTACTGTAGAAAATTAGGCAAGTTTGAGAGACTTTCAAACCTCCCTGTCTTGGAGAGACAGGCTGCAGTCTCCCAATGATAGAGATGATTAAAAGGGCTAGAAATCTGTGTGTGTGTGTGTGTGTGTGTGTGTGCGCGCGGGCGCGCACACGCACATACAAGTGCCTGTGTTTCTACGTCTTTATCTTGGCGACAAAATAACTGCCTTCACCCTTGAGAGCCCAGAGCAGAAGCCAGCAGAATAGAATGAAGGGAACCTGCAGTGGGTGACATTGTGGTTAGGCAGGAGGAAGCAGTCTATAGCAGTCAGGGGAGGGTGACACAGGAATAAGACTGGTGAGAGAGGCCATGGGAAATCAAAATCACCCCAACCCTGGGGTGCTCTACCAATAGGCCATGCCTGGCAACTGAGGGATAACCTAAACTTTGACTTTCAATACTTACTGGTTCCAACACCAACCAATGGGGAGAATGGGACAAACCAGTTAGTGTGATGGAAGAAAAGGGAGGGGGCAAAGGCAGGATTCTGGAGAGAAGACTGCAGCTGGTTTAACTTCAGTCTTGTTTTTTTATTTCAAATCAAGAAAAGAAGGATGTAATGCAGAGCTGTCTGCCCCCTCTTCACTGCTGTCCAGGCTGGGTACCCATGGTCCTGGTCTGTATCAGGATATTGGTAACCAGGAAGCCCTCTGGGGTTCTGCTAACCCTTTTTCCTCCAGGCATCTTTAATATTCCCCCTCTCACCTAGGACCCTCTTCTCTCACAGGAATTTCTCCCAATTCTGATTTTAGTCCCTCCTATTTCTAAAAGTGCTTGTCTCCATTCTTGAGCTCCTTCCGCAAGCCTTTGGGCTGCATGCTGAGAGATCTTTTTCTTTCTTCCTCCTCCAGTCTTCTGTGTTTATTAGAAATATACTCTCTACTAGAAAAAAAGAGAAGTGGAGAGGACCAAGTGCTACATTTTGGAGATCTCTCAAGCACAGCTATATTTAAGCATAGCTATCTTCATTCTCCATCTTGTCCTCTCCCGTCTCACAGTTGTCCCTCTTCCATAAGTTGTTTTTTCCAGTCCGGCCCTTCTACCCACCTGTCTCTCTTACTCTTATTTCTGGGAGGTACAGAGGTTTGGTCCCAGGAAGAAATCCAAGGCTTAGGGAAGGATGTGCATACAAGGCACTTTCCTAGCATCACAGCTCAATAAAAATCTCTAGAAGTCCTGATCCCTGGCCCGGAAAGCCAGTATTTGTTTTAGTATACTGCTTAACTAAGCAACCTACAGGATTGTGAGGGTAAAGATAGTATGGAAGAGACTCTCTTCCAGGCAAGATCTGGCCCCACTGAAAGTTTGAGCTAATTGCAAGAAAATCATGACTCGAAAAATATGACCAGGAAGTGAGGGATCTAAGTGGGAAAATACTATGAGGAAGGAAGTACAACTTAGGAAGTTACTATTGAGGTCATAGTTAAAGAAGTATGAATGGTCAATGCTGTGACATGAAAAGAAGTAGTGGTGTGACATTGTCATGGATCCTGGTTGAAAATCTGGAATTTAGATAGTTGTCTCTGGCAAGATGTTGGGGCAGATGAGATGGTTGGTATGAACTTTTAGGAGATTATGAGCAGAAGGATATGCGAGGTTGTGGCTATAGTGAGACAATTGGAAAGATATTAGGATGATGGTAGCTGGGGAACTGGGAATAAGAAGGGATTCCAGGCTCAAACTAGAGGCCCCTCTCTATATATACATTGTTGATCATTAGAGATAAGGTTTGTAGGGGTCCGTGAGAAGAGTTAAGAAGGGAAACCAAAGACAAAGCCTAGGCCACCTCCCCAGATCAGACTGGTTTTCCTGTCCAGGGTCCAGCTTCCTCTTTTGTCCTCATCTCAAATGGGGGAGGGCATCTCCCCAGGAACTAAGGGCAGAGGAGGAGCTTCTTAGCTAGGGCAGGGCTGGCTGGCCAGTAATGTTAGTGCTAAATCATAAACACTGCATGTTGGGCTAGGCATGAGGACCTGGAAACTTAGAAGCAAAAGTGACTCAGAAATATGTCAACCTGACTCCTTTGGACCATAGTAGGGCCATCCTAAATGAAGTCAGAGAGATTGTGGGACCCTTCAGTTTAGAGGAACAGTTCTGAACTTCTCTTTGTGGAACTAACATCAGGCTAGAGATTAGGAGACCCAAGTCCTTGTCCTGGATTTGCAGCCAACTCTCTGTATAACCCTGGTCAACTTAGTTTCTCTTGGCTCTGTTTCAACATTAAGGAGTTGCATTATCAATACTTCCAAAGGGCACAGAGAATACTGATAGCTTGGAGACTCTCTCCCCTCCATGAAATTCCTAATTGCAGTGCCCCCACTCTGGCCACTCCTGTCCCCACCATCCTTGATATAATAGGCCTTCTCCAAAACACAAGGATTGCTATAAGTTAAGAGCTAAGAAGAAGGGAGAGTGTTGGGGATTTTGCCAGGGGCAGCAAGATTGGGGAGTACCCTGTCCCCACTCTGCCCCACTGATGGTGGAAAACTGATGCTAGAGTTTCCTCCCTGATGTTATTTTCCCTTGTGGAAACCCCCACAGGCCTTCAGTGAGGCTGATGGGCCTGAGCAGCCCTAGGTTTCTCTCTGGGTATTTTCAGGTGGGGGAGGCAGGCTTGGGAGAATGGCACTTCTGTATAGCCTCATGTGAAATGAGCAAAGGCAAAGGAAGTGCCATTTCACAGGTCTTTCATGGGGCTCAGGGGCTGCTGGGGTGCTGAGCCACTGCTAGGCTGGAGGAGGAAGCCAGTGTGTGAGCATTTCTCTATGCTGCTTGGTGTGGGAGGGAGCTCCCCCAGCCAGAGCTGTCCTAGCCCTAGGGTTCACCCTTTGTGGAACACCTCAGGTTCCAGGATGGCCAGGGAAAATGGGAAGGATGGAGACTTATGTAAGGGTCCTACAGCCTTCTTAGCAACAATTGTCCTGTTTCCTGTATCTAGCCCCTAGTGATGGCATCAAGTCTCTTCTTACCCTACCTGACCTAGTGCAGGATTTATGCAGAGGCTGAAGGATAGAGAATGGCGATAGCTTGAGAATCCTCCCGCATGGATTTTTTTTTTTTTTTAAGCCTGGGAACTAAGCTCTCTGTTCTTCCTTGCTAGTGGGGAGAAGGGGAAGAAAGAGAGACTCAGCCCTTGGCCTGGTCCCAGCCCCACACTGACCTCATGTCTCCCCCTAGCTTCTTCCTCCCAGCCCAGCTGCAGCCAGCTGCACCCTGTGGGCCTCCTTGTATTACCTCTCTCCCCTCCCTTCAAAACAAATAAACAGGGGCTGGGGATGTGGCTCAAGCAGTAGCGTGCTCGCCTGGCATGGGTGCGCCCTGGGTTCGATCCTCAGCACCACATACAAACAAAGATGTTGTGTCTGCCAAAAACTAAAATGTAAATAAAAATATTAAAAAATATTTTAAAAAAAAAACAAATAAACAAACAAACAGACTTACGGGCCTTTCCAACAGTTCCTCTACCCCTTGCCTATATTTGACCAAGGGTCTTTAGATATTCCAATCCAGTTCTTATCCTTTTGGATTTGGACAGGACATTTTTTCCTACCCATCTTCCTCATCCCCTCTGAGCTAGCTCTGTTTGCTTCACCCCCTTGCCCTTCCAGCCAGGGACAAAGCAATATAACTTGTGTATGTTACCCTAACTTCATGCTCCTCCGGGTGAGAAAGAAGTTGGCTACCTTTGTCCTGCATCCTTTGAGCACAGAGGCTCTCCTTGTTCCCAACATCAATGTCTGTGAATTGATGGGGTAGGAGGTGTGTGTCAGCCTGTAGCTTTTGCTCAGCCTTCTGCTGGATTTCAGCAAATAAATGAAATACAGATTTCCCTCCCTATGAGGCATCAAGTTATTTCAGCAAAATGAATAAAACAGTCAGTCAGTACTGGGAATGGTAAGGCAGGAGAGGAGGTTGCTATAATCTAGAGAAACTGAGGAGCAGAACTGGGCTTTGATGGACAGGAAGAATCTGAAGACGGTGAGCAGCATTCCAGGAAGAGGTATTCTTGTGTGCAGAGTCATTAAGGACAGATTGAGCCCATTCATTTATTTACTGACAGCCACTGTGCTGTGTTCAGCTCAGGGAGACAGAAATCAGCCAGGACCTTGCCCTCTAGGCCCTCTAACAACAAGAGATAAGATTCAGATCAGCCTGCATGTGATACAAGAATAAGAGAGACAGGGACCAGACTTTGGATAGGATAAGTCACTTGTGACTTGGGTAATTCACAAAAACTTTGCTGGAGGAGGTGGCAGAGTGCTTGGCTCCGTATCACTACTTTGTTTTGGGGAACAAAATATAGAGGCCACCTCATAGAGGATCGTGGTAGTATGGCCAGAGCTGAGGGTTAGGATGCCCAGAGATACATTAGAGTTAGAATGAGATTCAAGAGGGCTGCAAAGGAGAACCCCGTGTAAGAGAGGCAGTCTAGAAAGCCCATTGCCTCTACACTTGCCCATTCTAGAGCCAATTCCTCCCCTCCCCCATCCCAGTTGGGACACTTCCCCCTGCTCTAACGGCCACAGAGATCTGGCAATCAGGCAAACATCAGTGCTTCCTTTTCCTCCCAGCTTCTGTGCCTGTCCGGGCCACACCCCAAGCCCAGGGCCTACTGGGTGCAGGCTGGGCTACAGGGAACACCCTCCTAGGGTTGGCCATGCATGAGTTATGCTCCCATGGACTCCCTGCTGGAACCAATTCAGGCAAATACTAGGGAGAGAGGTTTTTGCTTATCCTAGTCTTAACTTTTAGGTGTCATTGCTCTCCAGTAAGATTTCAGCACTATGGTTTTGGCTGAGATGGGGCAATCCAATCCTGGTTTCTGGAGGGATCTATCCAGATCTCAGTAAAGAGGCAGGTGCAAACAGATCAAAATGCAGTAGTTGTACACTGTTGTATATGCAGCCCTATATTCACAGCTTTTTTGCAGTTGAAAGAAGACCAGCCTCCAGCATTGGAGGGGCATTCATAGCTGAGTAACTTATGTATGACTATTGGAAAAGGAGAATCACATGAGTCAAAGCAGGGTTAAAAGGGTTGGCCATTATATGGAAATTCAAAGATGAATTCAGTAGCCTCATGGGATGGTGAGATTTAAGCTAGTCCTTGAGGAGTCAGGAAGAATTTTTTTTTCCCCCCAGTACTGAGGATTAAACCTAGGGGTGCTTAACTACTGGGTCACATCCCCAGTCCTTTTAAAAATATTTTATTTAGAGACAGGGTCTGCTGAATTGCTAAGTGCTTTGCTAAATTGCTGAGGCTAGGCTGGCTTTGAACTCATGATCCTCCTGCTTCAGCCTCCCAAGCTGCTGGGATTACAGGCATGTGCCACTGCACCCAGTTTAAGAGTCAGGAAGATCTGTGCAAGGGAAAGGGAATGGCAACAGGGGGGAAAAAAAGTTTAAAAGTTCAAAGGCAAGAATTATCCTGGTTTGTCTGCAGAAGTCACTGAAGACATCTTGGGTATGAGGAGCTGGGAATTCACACTTGGAAACTACCTACATTGTATACACATTGTATATTAACGCACTTAATTCTTATAGTAACCCTATAAGGTTTATACTGTTGCTACTGCACTTAAAAGATAAAGAAATTGAAGCTTAGAGAGACAAATCTTTGTATGTCTAGGGTCATATAAGATAAGAGGTAGAACTAGGCTTTAAACCCAGGTCTATATGCATCCAAAACTCCTTTCAGAGTTTGAAGAACTCTGAATGACAAAATGAAGGACCAGGCATGACCTGAATTAAATTTGGAAAAGCCAGAACAAGTCCTTGTAGTTTAGCTAATACATACATCTACAAACATCAATTTATTTATTAAATGAAGATTTTTTTTTTTTTTAATGCCACTTAAAGTCAACCCTAACCCCAGGAGGGCTACTCTTGATTTAGCATCCTACAGCATTGACATCCCTTCCTTTTTGGCATACATTAGACCCTACCTTTTAGCATATGCACTCCTTAAATGGGCTAGGGGAACTTATTCAATCCAGTTCCGGCCAAAGGGTTTCTGAGAAAAGGGTTGTCCTGGGAGAGAGGATGAGGTTCTGAACTAAATGTGAATAGGGAAAATTGGGCTGCTGCCACTGCTCAAACTTATGCATACTCAATGCTTCCTGCCTCTTGGGATGAAAGGCTTTGTTTCTGTTACCTCCTGTGTGTACAGTACATTACAGTTTACAGAGCATATTCATTATCATGCTTAGGATTCTCCATGCATCCTCCTGAGGCTGGGAGGTCAAATATTATCACTCCTGTTGTAGAGATGAAGAAACTGAGGCTCCAGGAAGGGAAGTCACTTATTTGCTCAAGGTCACATAGTTAGCTGGTTATGGGTAACTTGGAGACTATGTGATTCATTGAGGAAAACAGTCTTTTAGAGTACAAAACTGGGCTTGTGTCCTGGCTCCCATACTAACTGTGTGACATTGGGTTACTATAACTGCTCTGAGTTTGTTTCCTCTGTCAGTAGAACCAAGTGACATTGTACTGTATAAAGCCCATGTTAGGGCTTTTTATGAAGGGTCAAGGAGGTCAGATTTAGGTATCTGGTGCTCTTGGCCTTATACCACACCTTGTTTTGGATACTACCTCATTCATAATCCATTTCCGGTGTCAGTCGTTTCCTCACTGGCCCGGAAGCTACCCTCTCCCTCCCTGCTCCTTTGAGGGCCGATTTACTGATTGTTGGTTGATAACTACATCCCTAGAGAGCCATTTGTACTTTCAGTCTCTTGGGGCTTATAACTGCTGGCCAGAGTTCCCTCCTTGCTTTCCTGCCTGGGCCATCCCATTGCTAGGCTTGTGGGAGAGAGTTCTCAAAGGCCACACCCACTCCCCTACTCTATGTGGAACTGGAAGATTACAGGCCCAGGAGTTCTGCTATAAAACGCCAGGGCCTCCAGATAATCCAGTGGGCACAAGTAGTAGCACCTACTCCTACTGCCTTTTGTCACAAGCATTTTCGGCTGTTTCCAGGAAAGGGAAACTGGGGCCCAGAAAGGTGTCTCATGTTTGGTTGCAGTGAGTCAGGAGACCTAGGGCTAGAACTTAAGTCTCTGGACTTCCACTCTGAGATTCTCTCCACTGCCCTAGAGGGCCCTTGGTTCCTTTCTTGACCCATTTTCTGAGGATTTCTACCTAGATGTCCTGAGGCTGAGCAACATACATACTCTGATGCAAATAAGGTGGAAATACTGTCAGTGTTAACCAGAGAGGCAGCCTTATAAAAGTCAAACCATTTCTTTCCCAACTGGTCCCAGGGGAAACTGGCCTAAAAGAGAACTGGGACTAAGTCCTTTGTCCTTTTTCCAGCCCCCACACCACCAAAGTTCCTTTTCTACTTTGCAGTAGACAGACAGACAGACACACACACACACACACACACACACTGTCTGATTTTTGAGACTTTTGAACTGAGAGATCAAATGTTGGGATCCATATTTTGTAGACTCTGTAGTAGATCACTACAGTACTAGTGTATTGTACCCTCCTTTGTTTGTGCTACCTTGGGAAAAATAAAAATAGCTGATATTTATTGACCAGGTACTATTCTAAATGCTTTACGATTTCTAAAATAGGCAAATGTGATGGCACCATACTTGTAATCCCAGTGACTTGGAGGCTGAGGCAGGGATATCACAAGTTCAAGGTCAGCTTCAACAACTTATCGAGATCCTGTTTCAAAATAAAAAGGACTGGGGATGTGGCTTAGTAGTAGAGTGGCCCTGGGTTCAATTCCCAGTACTGGGAGGAGAATACACACACTCACATACACAAACGTATATATAAAACTCACATTAACCAATGACGTTATTATTTTATCCCCACATTACGGATAAGAAAAAGAGGCATAGAGGGGCTAAGTGGTTTGTCCAGGGTCACAGCTAGAAAAGAGCAGAACCAGGATTTGACCTTAAATTATCCTAATATCATTGCTGATGTGTTTCCCACCACATTACATTGCTTTTTTGTAACATGTTGCTGGATATTGCTCATTTGTATCTCTCTTTCTCTCTCTAATTGGGGATAATGTCAGGTTGAGGAAGTAGGAGCTGGTTTCTGTGTGTAGGAGCAGGGGGGGCACTGGTTGGCCTATTGGGTCCACCTTGGCCTGGGTGAGCACATGAGAATACCTGGTGTTCCCAAGCAGAGTTGGGCAGGGCCCAAAACACATTTCTTGTGTTTTATTTAGAGACAGTGTCTCTCTAAGTTGCTTAGGGCCTCACTAAGTTGCTGAGGTTGGCTTTGAACTTGTGATCTTCCTGTCTCAGCCTCCTGGGCCACTGGGATTAAAGGAGTGTGCCACCACGCCAAGTCCTATGGTCTTCTTTAAGGGTCACAAGGGAGTCCTTTGTCTGAGGACAGATAAGGTGCCAAGGCAAAACTGGTGCAAGGGGGCAGGTGCAGCCTCCAAGCAGAATGCCATTCTTCTTCCCAACAGGTAGAAGCCTTCTTAACCAAGTGTCCCTCTCATTTCTCCATAGGTCACTGCATCCAGAGGGGCCCAGAAGAGGCAGGAGGCACTGCCTCCACTACTATAGCTTTATCCACAATGCAGAGCATCAAGTGTGTGGTGGTGGGCGATGGGGCTGTGGGCAAGACGTGCCTGCTCATCTGCTATACAACTAATGCCTTCCCCAAGGAGTACATCCCCACAGTGTTCGACAATTACAGTGCCCAGAGTGCAGTTGATGGGCGCACAGTGAACCTGAACCTGTGGGACACTGCGGGCCAGGAGGAATACGACCGCCTCCGCACACTCTCCTACCCCCAGACCAACGTCTTTGTCATCTGTTTCTCCATTGCCAGTCCACCCTCCTACGAGAACGTGAGGCACAAGTGGCATCCAGAGGTGTGCCACCACTGCCCTGATGTGCCCATCCTCCTGGTGGGCACTAAGAAGGACCTGAGATCTCAGCCTGATACCCTACGGCGCCTCAAGGAGCAGGGCCAAGCGCCCATCACACCTCAGCAAGGCCAGGCACTGGCCAAGCAGATCCATGCTGTGCGCTACCTCGAGTGCTCTGCCCTGCAGCAGGATGGCGTAAAGGAAGTGTTTGCTGAGGCTGTCCGGGCTGTGCTGAACCCCACGCCAATCAAGCGTGGGCGGTCCTGCATCCTCTTATGACCTTGGCCCTCAGCTTGGAGGCTGCCCCTGACCCCCCACCAGTTGTGCCTTGGCGCCTTGTCTGCCCCCAGCTGTGCCTTAAGGACTAATTCTGGCACCCCTTGCCAGGGGGCTTCCTGAATACCTTTTTTTCCTTAAGGAGACCCATGGGAAATGGACTTTGGGTCCTACCCCACTCTGCTTGAGAACACCAGGTATTCTCATGAGCTCACCTGGGCCAAGGTTGACCCTCCCCAAGAGGCCAACCCAGTGTCTCCACCTCTCACATTTTCTGCTACTGACCAGTCATCCAGCTTTCCACAAAGTTGTTGCCTATTGTGGTGCCTCCTCTCAGGTTAGGGGCTGTCAGCCATCTCTAACCTCTGCCCTTGCTGCTCTTGGAATTGCCCCCCAAGATGTCTTCTCCCTCCCCCAAGGAAGGAGCCACAGAATCCTGAGAAGATAAATGTGTCCTAACCTGCCCCCATGTGCCCAGGCCTTATGCATTTGCTGACTGACTCAGCCCCCATGCTCCTGGGGGCCTTTCCTACCCCCAACAGCATCAATAAAACCTCCTGTCTCCAGTGGCCCTGGCTCCTCCCTGTGTGCTGGGCATTAGGGGGTGGGCATGGACTAGGGCTCCCCAGAGACTGGGAGGCTTTTGTTTCCTTTAAGAGGGGACAGGAGACAATAGGCTTCATTGTGGTCCCCCACCCCGCCCCCCAATTTCCCTAACAAAGCTCTGGGGCCCATCCACAGATGCTGGGAACCTCCATCTATAAACCTCCATTTTGGAGCCTTAGGAGACTCTAGGCCCAAAAACATTCTGCCATAGACTTATTCCCTCCATCCTGGAACCCATCTCTTACCTCAGTTACTATTAAACAAGGAATGAACCTCAAGAGTAGAAAGGTTAGCCCAGGTTGTTGGCAAAAGAAAAAAAAATTTTATTTTCATTTGAAATAAAATGTACAACCAGAAGAGCTCAGGGTCTGGGGTAATAGGGAGTTATACACCAGGGAGCCTGTGTTGTGGTAGGGAACTGTGCCTCTTGATCCCTCTACCCCATATCTTTGCAAGGAGGAAGGGTATATAGGCTAGTGATTTCAGAAGGGAAGAGAAACACATGCCGTGCTGGTGCTTTTTCTGGAACAGGTCATCCTTCAGGTATAGACCACTTCCATCAGATGATGTCAGAAGCACACTGGCAGAGCCATTGGAGATCACACACTGCCACCTCCCCCCATCATACACATGGACACACTGAGGCTCAGATAGGTAAGGATACAAACCTTAGGGCCCACACCAGACTAAAGAAGTGAAGTCAGGACTAAAACACCTGGGCAAACCCAGCAGGGGACTACAGCCACAGGCCTAAATATGCATGGAAGATTATCAGGTTCTAGTCAAGTGAATGACCTGGAGAGAAATGGCTATGGTTTTGAAGCTGCAGCCACTGCTCAGCAGTCCCTAACCTCAGTGAGAGGTGGCTAGGTATAAGCCAAAAATTGGATGGTGGTCATAAACCTCTGAACTTTTTTTAGCACCAAGTGGTGGAGCTCTCCTTCCAGCTCAGCTTCTTGGGGCCTGTCAGTTTAGACTGACGTTACTTGAAGGCCCCTGTGGCTGTGTGAGGGTTGAGGAGGAGAAGCCAGAGATGCTGGGGTCAGCCTTGTCCTATGCCCTTCTTCCCTCTCCCCCATTTCAGAAGGACCCAGGAGGACACGGGTATGGGGAAGGCCAGAGTGGTTTCTTGTTTCTAGGCAGTGGGCTACTTTCTCCCAGCAGCAGAGGTGTTAGAATCGCTTTTCCTCTGGTTGAGAGGTTATGAGCAGCTCTTTGTTCCCGAAGTCCCACCAGGCTGTCATGTGGAATGCCATGTTGGTTAGAACGACAGTGTACTCCAGGATGGCAAAGATGGTGTATACTGTTTTAAGGACACAAGTAACCTCCTGTTACTTCCTTTTAGGAGCCTCTTAAATCACCAACCCACTACAGAGAAATAATAGTAGTCAGCCAGTACCCAAGACTATTGCCCACTCTCAAAAACATCACAACTGCCCCAAAGACACTTATGACCATCTATGGATCCTAGCCTGGCCTCACCTCCAGCCTCACAATACATGTTGTGTCGAAAGTAGACAGCCAGTGCCGAGAAGAAGGAGACGAAGTTGATGATGAAGAGCCGCTGTTTCCAGCTGTAGGACTTGCGATCCTAGGGGGTGGGCTGTCTGATCACTCTGCAGCTTATTGGGTATATGTGGGTAGCTTCCCCTCTTAGCCCCAGCTTCTAAGGGCTGGGCCTTCCCTCCCTTGGTTCCCATAGTGGTCATAGAAGGGGGCAGAGGCATGGGCAGCAGGAATGACAAGTATGTTCACATCCCTGATGAGCCCTGCCTCTTCCATTTCAGAGGGATGGAGTATAAAAGTTACATGGAGTCACCCACCAACCCAACACTCCTCAGATACTTTGTGTGGCAAAGAATGGCATGTGTATGGGTGGGTGGAATCTAGACTGCAGTACCCTGACACTGTCCCTAAGCCACTAGAGCCTGTCTGCTACTTACTCATTTTACCCCTATTTGGAGTCTCCATTTCTTCTATTCTAATCTCCTTTACTACCCAAACATAATCCTAGATTCTGACAAATAAGCCACTTTTAACTTGTTTCCATGCCTCAGCCCCAAACCCAGTACCCCTCTGCCAGGGTTTCTAGAACTCCAGTTCCCACCCCATCATTACCAGCATCCTGAGGACAGATGTTCTTGATTTTCTTCTGGGCCCCGTGGAGCCAAGTAGGGTAGACCGTACCTCCTGACTTACTGTGTGCTTCTTGGTCAGCCGCCAGAGAATGCAGGTGAGGAGCATGTGACCGAGGGAAGCAGCGATGAACACAATGAAAGCATTTTCATGGACGGCTGGAGGGAGAGAGGAGGATGGGGAGCACACACAACCAGCAGCGCCCTCACCCTTCCACAGGAAGGTTTGTATGTGAGAAGGGGTGGGCTCTGTCCCTTTCCCAAACCCTCTTCCACCCCTCCACCGTGGGAGCACCCACTGAAGTCCTCAGAGGAGGAGACATAGGTGAGCACTAATAGTGCGAGGTTCTCCACGACGTTGAGGCCAAAGTTGAGGCGGCAGAGCAGGCGGTAGCCAGGACACGGGGAGGCACAGCTGAGGTAGTGGTTCCAGTAGGCGAAGGCCGCCAAGAAGCGGGGTGCTGAGTGTAGGCCAATGCAGAAGCGCCACACATAGCGCTGGGGCACCTCTCCGCCGATGGCTGAGCTCACCGAGGGTAGATAATTGGGCACCTAGAAAGTTGTGACTGGTCCGGGCATGTCCTCCACTGGTCCTGCCCACCCAATCTATCACAGTCACGGGCTCTGCTCCAGCCCCTTCCCTTCCAGGAAGTCTTCTTTTAAGTGCTCCCAGAGCTCTCCCAAGAGACCTTCCCTTCCAGGTCATGGGCCCAGGGTGCTGGGTTTTTATTCCCCAGCCAGACTGAGATTTGTGCAAGGGCAGGGCAGGCATATTCTATCTCCCCACAAACTGGAACCTGCACATTTGGACAGGTGTGTAGATGGGTTCAAATGCTCCTATGCCCATAGCTTAGAGCTGTGTCTCAGAAAAGACCCCAGGGGAGTCCCAGGAATCCAAGACTCTAGAATTAGTCCTGAGGACAGAGATGTCACAGACTCTCTGACCTTCCTTAGAACAGGGCTACCTAGCTGAGCTGTTCCTCTCACTGCTTCCAGTTCCACTTATTCTTCAGGGTAAATGTGCCCAGGTGGTAGAGGGTGCTGAGAGATCCTGAGGGAGCTAGGCAAGAAGGGTACCCCTATACTGATCATGTTTAAGAAAGTGGATGCTTCTAACCTGATATAGTCTGAGAAAATGACCCTGTTCTTGTGCATCTCCCTATCCATCTTTCTCAATACCTGGAGCTCCTCCTTCCTTAAGGAAATGCAACCTCATTGTAGGCTGAGAAAAGGGGAGGCTTCAAGGACTGGTATTGCTTGTATGAGCAGTGAAACAATATGGGACAAGTGAACAGTACTTGAGATGGAAACAGGAATGGGAGGAGGATCTCTTAATACATTCTGGCCTACAGCAATGCTTTGCAAACTAAGTACAACTCACTGGGAAGATGTGTGAAAATGCAGGTTTTGAAACCTGAGCACCTGCATTTTTAAAAGTTTCCAAGACTGGAAGTTACCAGTTCATTGCCCACACTTTTCATGGCACTTTTGTTGTTGTTGTTGTTGTTTGGTTTGGTTTGGTACCAGGGATTGAACCCAGGGGTATTTAACCACTAAGCCACATCCCCAGCAATTATTTATTTATTTATTTATTTATTTAGTGAGAGGGTCTCACTAAGTAGCTGAGGCTGGCCTCGAACTTGCAGTCCTTCTGCCTTGGCCTCCCAAATTGTTGGGATTACAGGCATGCACTACCACACCCAGCTTCCATGACATTTTTAGACTCTCAACAAGAGCCAGGGCAGTGTCAGAAATCCAGTGACCCAGCAAGGGAATGAACTTGTTCTCTTGAAGGAATAAGTCTTCAGAGATGGAGCTCTGAAAAACTATTCCTTTCCTCTAGTGGAATGGATCTACAGACTATTGGGAAGGTAGGCAAAATTAGAGACAGCTCACAGGGGAGGGGTGGGCCTGAGGAAGGGTTCAAGTCAGGGACTTCACGGCCTCCGTAAAAAATGTGTGGAGGAAGCTAAGTATAGCACTGTCAAGTTCAGCTCTGTCACAGGAAACTTAGTACAGAGTTCTCCAAGAAGAGACACTGCTCTCAAGGCCATGGCTTGAGTAATCAGTGCAGAGGCAGCAGGAGGCTTTAGAACTTCATAAAGATGGGTCTGTATCCAAGCTTATCTGGGGGACCTTGAGCAAGGCACTTCACCTCTCTGAGTTCCAATTTCTTCATTGGTAACCCGGGTATAACACCACTAACCTGCAGAGTGATTATGAATTCTAAATGTAAGGTATGCAAAGCATCTGTAGTGTCTGGCACATAGTGGGTACGATAAATGACAGATTTCAGAAGATAGACTTCTCTGAAATGCCTGCAGGCTTTTCTCTGAAAAGACTGGCCACTGTGAGTCAAGTGGCCAGTCAGCCAGGCCTGTTTATGGGTTGAGAGGCAGGACACCAGATACAGTGAGACCTCCAAGTCTCCTTACTTTTTTTTTTTTTTTTTTTTTGGTGTGTGTGTGTGTACAGTGCTGGGGATTGAACCCAAGGCCTTGTACATGTGGAACAGGCACTCAACTAACTGAACTATATCCCCAGGCCCGCCTGACTTGATTTTTGAGCCTCTCCATTACTCTCAGTTCGGTTAATGAGTGTTGCCTTTTCTTCCTGGAATATTTATTCTGAAGATTGCTCCCTAATCTCAGCTACTTTAAGAGGAATAGGACCAGTACCTAAGCCTGACTGGAAGAGCTCAAAGCACTCAAAAGTGATGAGTCCTTTCTGATGCTGGGAACAAGTACTGGGTAGAGATGATGGAGAATTGGGGGGAGACCTTGGGGAGAAGTGAAAAGTTAGAGCCTTGTGACTGCATTCTGTTTTCACAAAATCCTCTCAGATTAGGATGAGAATCTAAGAGCAGGGATTGTCTCTTCACACACAGGGGCACATGCGTGCACACTCACATATGCACAAACAAAATCAAGTATGTATATATATACCCCACCTCCACCCCACCCCCATTCCCAGCACATAAGTTGCTCACTCACCAACGGTGCCAGCAATAAGCAACAGCAAGATCTATCAGAGACCAGATACACAGCTCACTCCAAACCTCTCCATGAGCCCAGAGCTAAAAGTACTGAGAAATGGGTAGAAAACCCCTTTCTTTCTTTTTTTTTTTTTGGCAGTACTGGGGATTGAACCCAGGGCCTTGTGCATGGAAGGTAAGCACTCTACCAACTGAGCTATATCCCTAGCCCCTGATAGAAAACCCCTTTCTAACAGGGCAGGAGATCAGAAACTCACAAAGTGGGGTTTCTAAGAATTCCCCAGGTTTTTACCATTAGAGATCCATTTCTTTGGTCTCAGATTAAAAGTCCTCCCCAAATTATAAATGACTTTTTCTACCTGCCTTGCTGCCTCCTCATCCCTTGCCAACTAAACAAAAATTTTAATTCCTGTCAATCCTATTTCCTTTTCCTCTCTGGACTCCATCCTCTTTCCTTTCTAACCTCATGGTCTCCATCTTAGCTCTGGTCTCCAATAGTATGAGTCACTACACTAGCATCCCTATTCTTGTATCAACCCTTAAATCTGTTCTCCACTCAGGAGCTGAGATGATCTTCTAAAGGACAAATCTAATCATATCCCTTTTCCTGCTTAAAATCTTTCCAAAGCTCCCCATTGCCCTCTGGATAAAATCCAAAGCTGTCGGCCTGGCATTCACAAAGATCCTTCTTCACATCCCCCTATCTCCCACAAACAATGCCCCCTCCTATAGAAAGTCAGACTTCCCCAACATCCAAGCTGGGTTAGGTGCTTCCTCTGATCCCTGAAAACCTTCATTCCCTTTTATTGCAAGAATCCCAACTCACTATATTTCAACTGTGCCCAAGGACTGTCTCTTGCAGGAATGAGATGCTGAGAACAAGTCCATTTTCACCTCCATGTCCCTGACATAGAACTTCTACCCCTGGTCCCTCAGGAAAGATCTAGTGAACTGATCTGGAAAGCAAGAAGTCCATCCAGATTTCCAGCTAGCAGAGCCCTGAGTGTACCCCACAGGCTGTGGGGCTAGGGCTGCTCGTGGAGAAACAAAGCTTGAGAATCCTAGAGTAGGGCTAAGCCACCTGTTACTTTTGGCTCTGGGCCTCACTGTACCTTCTCATTACTGGCTTCCTTTGTAGTCTGGTCTTTTTTCAGCTACCTCTCCCTCTCGTGATCTCTCCTGGCCAGTCCTCCAACCCCTTCCCTTCTCTCCTACATCAACCTCCCAGACCCCAACTCCATTTGAACGTTCTTTCTTTCTTTTTTTTTTCCTTTTTGTTTGTACTGGGGATTGAACTTGAACTCAGGGGCACTTAACCACATCCCCAGCCCTTTTATTTAAGTTAGAGACAGAATCTTGCTAAATTGCTTAGGACCTTGCTAAGTTGCTGAGGCAGGCTTTGAACTTGTGATCCTCCTGTCTTAGCCTCCTGAGCCACTGGGATTATAGGTATGCACCACCACGTCCAGCTCCTTTGGACTTTGTATAATCCTCTTCCAATTCCAATTCGTGGAGGACTGTGACTCTACAGACACTATGAATCTCTACTGCCAAATTCTCTATCCCTCTCTGACCCTCTAGTTCTCTCCTACTCTCTAATCCTGCCTCACCACGATCTCTTACCCTGGCCCTGACCCAAGTGCTAAGGAGCCTGGCACTCACCCCACAGTCAGTGGCCACTGTGTACTCAAAGTGGAACACCAGGGACCAGATGATGCAGAAGAAGAAGCCGAACGCAGGGAAAGTGATGACCCACCAGACCATGGCTGTGAAGCGGAGCTGGAACACAGTCCCATCGGGGTCCAAGGGCTGGGAGGCCGCAGAGAACATCCTGTAGGAAGTGGCCCAAGAAGGGCAAGGGACACAACTTTGGGCCTGGTGAAATATCTGGGCTTGGGAAAGTGGGGCCTTTTCCAGAGCTGGTTCCTCAGAGTATAGGGAAGAGCCAGAGCTGGTTCCTCAGAGTATAGGGAAGAGCCAGAGCAGAAATGGTAGAAAGGACACAAGGGGGGAAAGGAAGACTGCCAAGGAACAGTGGGAGATGGGACAGGAGCAACTTTTGGGAATCTGCTGGTACACTGAGAATCTAGGTTCACCTCTTGAAGAACCTGGGCAATAGAAGCTTCCAGGGGACAGGACCTGGGAGTCCTGATGACTCACCTCACTCTCACGACCTCACAGTCACTAAGGAGAAGGATCAGAAGTAGAAAGGTTATTATTCCCATCCCACAGAAGGAAAGACTGAGGTCCAGAACTATACAGGATCAAACACTAGGACTAAGATCTCTTGCCACTGGACAGCTTAAGGCTCTACATCAAGACCTCCTTCAAGCCAAGTAACCTGGACAAAGAACCTTTGGCTTGAACTGGTAAAGCCCTCCCACTCACCCCGTCTGACCACATTCCTCCTCCTCACCCAAGTTCAACTAGGAACAATGGGAGTGTCTAGAACCTATTTCAGTGGGGCCATAGGCTACCAGACCTCCCACCCCCAGGCTCTGAATGAGCAAAGCCTCAGGCCATCAGCACCCTGAACTCAGAATATCAGGGTTCTTGTGAAGGTTCAAACTCCCATCTCCCCATCTAAGAAGACCACGTCACCCAATCCAAAGATGGGGGAATCTGAGGGTCATAGAAACTTTCTCCACTCAGCATCAGCCTGCTGTGCTGAGCCAGACCCAGGAAGATTCTGTCCAGGTCAGACAAAAACCCAGAGAGCTGGGCTTTACCTCTCCCTATCCCTCCCTGCACCTGCTAATGCCCCACCACCATGACCCCTCAAGCTGGCTCCCTTCTGAGGCAGACAGAGATGGCTTTGTAAAAGGCCTAAGATCAGATCTCCCCTGGGGACTTATACTTCCCTTCATTAAGGAGACCCCAGTCTACTAGTCCAGCTACTCATCAGGGATGGGGTAGGGGTGGGGGCTCACTAAGCAACACTCACACTGGGTGCTGAAGAATCCGGGGCTTGAGTTGAGGGCTCTAGCCAGACTGAGACTGCTCTAAGACAGGAGGGTCCCACCCCTAGCTCCTCAGGGCCTGCCCTCCCGCCCACAGAGCCTAGTTCTCCACAGCTGCCCAGGCACACAGCCTTCCCAGGATCAACAAGGCCACATCATAAATCCCGGAACACTCTGCAACGGTTAAGAAGTGATAGTGGCTGAGGTCAGTCCACTGCAGCTTCTTTGCCGGGGTGGGGGTGGGGACCTCTCTGAGGGTTGTAACCAGGGATGCATGCAGGTTTCTAGAAAAGAGAAAAAACAGAATTGGATCTGGCCCTTTTTGACTGGAGCAAAACCAAGTATGTATGTTATGCCCCATTAGAGAACTGGCTAATCTGTGATAATAATAATAGAATCATAGGATTCAAAAGAATCTAGGCAGATCTGAATATGAAACATCAGTGTCCTGCCTGTACCTATGGGGAAACAGCTAATGGCAACTCAGGCTGCATCAACAGATATCTAACAGCCAGTAATAGGAATGAATAATCTTACTTTCACCTATACTACCCAGGCTACCTGAAGTCCCATGCCCAGATCAAGGCCCAACACAGAGAAAATAGTTACCAACTAGGTCAAATCCAAGGGTATGTTCAAGGTGGGGAGAAGCCTAGAGGCCACGTCCTGTGTGTGTTGCCTGAAGAAACTATAGTTATGCTATCTAAAAAGACCTCCTAAGGAGCCAGGATTATAGCACACTCCAATAATTCCAACGACTCAGGAGGGTGAGGCAGAAGTTCAAAGCTAGTCTTAGCAACTTTGTGAGACCCTGTCTCAAATTTTTAAAAAATTTTAAAAAGGGCTGGGGATGTAGCTCAGTGACAGAGTGCCCCTGAGTTCAATTACCAGCACCTAGCACCACACACATACACGACACAGCCCCACTGTTGTCTTCTCGATCTCTGCAGGTTGACTTAAAGCCAAAATAAGAGAGTAGTTCCATGGCTATCAAAGCAGAGCTAGGGTCAGGATAGAGACTTACAGAAAGGAAAAAAGAAGAAAAAAAAAAAATCCTATGCTCATTATAAGAAAGAGATTGTTGCCAGGTGCAGTGGCACATACTTGTAATCCCAGCAGCTAGGGAAGCTAAGGCAGGAGAATCACTAGTTCAAAGCCAGCCTCAATAACTTAGTGATGCACTAAGCAATTCAATGAGACCCTATCTCTAATAAAATATAAAAAAGGGCTGGAGATGTGGCTCAGTAGTCAAGTGCCCTTGGGTTCAATCCCTGGTACCAAAAAAAAAAAAAAAGAGAGAGAGAGAGAGAGAGAGGAGAGAGAGACTGTTACTTCTAAGCCGCCTTAGAAAAGGTTACCTGAAAATGAAGGAAGCCCCATCACAGGGCATGTGCAAGCAGAGGAAAAGTTGTTAATTATAGATGTGTTGTGCTAGGTTGCTTTCTTCACTCCTTGGTTTGGCCATTCCTGGGATATTCTACTTTTGGGGGTGGGGGAGGTATTGAGGAATTGAACCCAAGGGAGTTTTAACAATGAGCTACATTCCTAGCCATTTTCATTTCTTTATTTTATTTTTCTTATTTTTATTTATTTATTTTTGGTGGGGATTTAACTCAGGGGCACTTGATCACTGAGCCACATTCCCCAACCCCATTTTGTATTTTATTTAGAGACAAGGACTCATTGAGTTGCTTAGAACCTTGCTTTTGCTGAGGTTGGCTTTGAACTGGTGATCCTCCTAACTCAGCCTCCTGAGCTGCTGGAATTACAGGCATGCGCCACCAGGCTTGGCTCCTGGAATATTCCAGATGGGAAATCCAAAGCATATATGAAAAGTGGGATCCAACAGGCCTACTACTGCTCCAGATGACCAGGTAACCTTCAACAACTACCTATGCCTTAGTTTCCCAACAGGTATGCCAAGAGTAGGTAACAGGTATACAAAGTATGCTGAGGTTATCTATCCTATTAGCCCTCAGGGCCAGCCACAAGTGTCAGTGCAAACAGCCTACTCAGTTTAATGCTATATGTTGTATAAATATTATATATTTTTTTTAGACTATGACTGCTTTATACCACGTCTTCCTTTTCCTGTGGCATTAGGTTGGGGGGGTCCTATCCATTTATTCAACAAATACATTCTGACTCAGATGCATTATCTACCCTCAAGGAGATCCTGGTCTGGTGTGGAAGATAGACACAAATATATAAGTATATGAAAGATAACACAGGGAACTGTAAGCACCCAGAAAAGGGAGTTATAAGTTTGTCCCAAAGGGAAGGCTTTCTGGAGGAGAAGACATCTTGGTAGAGTTCTGCTGGATGAACTAGAGTTGGCCAGAGTAATGGGAACACTGATGCATTATCTGAAACAAGCACTAAGTCAGAAAAGAGTAATCCTGGGGCTGGGGATGTGGCTCAAGCGGTAACGCGCTCGCCTGGCATGCGTGCGGCCCGGGTTCGATCCTCAGCACCACATACAAACAAAGATGTTGTGTCCGCCGAAAACTAGAAAATAAATACTGAAAAATTCTCTCTCTCTTCTCCCTCTCTCTCTCACACTCTCTCTTTAAAAAAAAAGAAAAGAAAAGAAAAGAAAAGAGTAATCCTCTCCCTCAGATCACCTGGTCACTCCTTTTCCTTCCAGTCCTATTCCTTCTGATAGCTCCTAGCAACAGGTCTCATCAGACTAAGTGCCTATACTCAAAGACTCATGCCTATCCACTGACAAATCTGAGGGAAAACTTCATGTCATATGAACAAAAGAAGTGGGTTCCATCCCAAACTCCTAACCAGACCTCTCTGCTACTTCTTCCTCTTTCTCTGAAGCAGATGCTCTTTTAGGTCCACAACTTCCTATAAAGGAAGTTAGCTGAGGGCCTTCAAAACTCTCTCAGAAACTAGCCCAAGAGTCCATGTTCAGGCCCTGGTTTTTCACCTAGAGTCCCAAGGATAACTTCATCTCCTGCCCGCCTTCCTCTCTAACAATCTCTTCTTCCTCATTCTCCTGACCCTCACCCTTCACATTCCCCAAACTACTTTCTCATCTTTGCAATATCTAGAGCTCTACACTAGCCCTGGAAAAGGAGTATGACAGGAATCATCAACCTCACTATTTAATTTTTTAGTACTGGAGATTGAACCTGGGGGTGCTTTACCACCAAGCTACATCCCCAGTCCTTTTTATTTTAAGACAGGGTCTCACCAAGTTGCTGAGGCTGGCCTTGAACTTTCAAGCCTCCCGCCTCATTCTCTCAAGTCATTGGGATTACAGTTATGGGCCACTGTACCTGGCTCAACCTCACTTCAGACATGGGTAACTGAAGCTCTGGGTCTCAGTGGATTAATTAAGAACATAGCAGAGGTTAATGCAAGTCTCACCCTATTTACTCTGATATCCTACAGAGAAAGAACTCTCCTATCTTCATGGCCCAGACACCCCATATTCCCATCCAGAGGGTAGATGACAATTGGTGGAGCCTCAGTGCTCATGAGACCCACCCCAGAACATATAATACATGCACATAATTGGGTTCCCATATAGACAGGCACTGATAAGAGTTTCTTTTACATATATACCCCACTCAAAGCCATTATATATAGTTATATCACTCACACACATAAACATACACATACATATACAGAATCACATTCTCAAAAAGACAGGCACAAGCCCACAGTGCCACTATGAGACCCAAAATGCCTTCAGTCCTGTTCTGTTTACATTCCAGCAAATGCTGGGGCTCCTGAATGTGTCCTCTTTGAAGTAATGATTGAGTTGTGGGTTTGGGGGCTGCCCAATTTCAGTGGCCCCAGTCCCTAGAACCTTCATGGAAGGTGGAGGGAGTCTAATCCTTGAGACCTCAATTTTCAGGTAACCCCTCCACAAGAAGTCCAGTATATTTGATGGACCCTACTGGAAAGCTGGTTAATCCTATCAAAATAAAATCAGGATCCAAAATAGATCAAGATGGGCCTGAATATGAGGTATGAGTGCCCCCGAAGCCCTACCCCACAGTGTGTGGCCGTTGTCTCCTTGAAGTGGAAGAGCAGGGACCAGAGGATGCAGAAGAGGAAGGCGATAAATGGACAGCAGACCGTGACCAGGACCACCAGGGTGAAGCGGAGCCGAACCAGGATCCCATCCCGATCCAGTGGCAGTGGGACCTGGTACATCTTGTCAGACCTGGGGATGGAGTGGTGTGCTGTCAGGGCCCCATACAGCAGGCTGGGACTCAGTGAAGTTAGCCCTTGTGTTCAGGTGGGGCGTCTGAGAATAATGTTTCCTAAATTTGGACAGCTTCCGCCATGGATAAGGAAGACTGACTCAGAATCCCAAGACAACACTCAAACTCAATTTCAGAGGGAAGACAATGAACCCAATCTAGAGTAGGATGAAGCTTGAACAGATTGGGAGACCTTCTCCTCACTCCTCTGCCTGGCTTCTAGGACTACAGAAGCTAGTTTATCTAGTCTCTTGTTTCTACAACCAACCAGTGGACAGAATAGCCCATCTCCTCCCCAAAGCCTCTGAGCCTAAGGCCAAGTCTCCAGGCTTCACCCACTGGCTCAGAGCCCTCCTGCACCCTCAGTCCCTTCTGTGTGCAGGCAAAGCAGTTCACAGCATTAGGGCCTCTATGGAAGCTGAGAGAACCTCAAACTCCTGTTTGTCCCTGCCTATTGCCTCACGTGCTCTGAGGGTGAAAGGCTTTGCAGAATCAGGCCTGGCATTAGTCTAGGTTTGCTGTTTGCAGGAAAGAGTTGCTTGGTCAGCTTCTGGAGGCTTCTCAGTCCACCCTCTCCCTGAGACTACAGGAGAGCTCTTGAGGACTTGATTTTCCCCTCAAACAAGGGTATCTAAGGTCAAGAACCATTATAGCTAAAAAGAACACCAACAACACCATCAGTTAATAGCAGGGAAAATTAAGGCAGGTATCTACTCAAGGTCCTGTAGAAAGTAGATGGAGAGCCAGCAGTAGGGAGGTGCAGAGCCCTTGAAAAGTTTACACATGGCAACTCTGGCTCTTCTTTACCCCTTCCTCTCTGGGTCAGAGCTCTGGGCAGAAAATTCAGATTAAGACTGGAATGAGGGTGGGAAAAGAAGGAAGAAATAGAAAAACCAAATCCTACAGAGTTTAGCCAATCAGCCCACTTCCCACTGTAGTGATAGAGAAAATAAGATGCAGAGGGAGAAAGGCCTTTCTTCAAAGCTGGGCCTGAGCAAAACTATCTCTGGAATTTAGGCTTCTTGATGCCAAATTAGGGCTGGTTCCAGATACATTAAAAAAAAAAAAAACCTGCCCTTCTGGTCTCAAAGGCCTTGCCAAATCAAGTCCTAACTCTCCCTGGCCCCACCCACAGAAAGAACTTTGACCTGTTTAGGTTGGCATCCTGGCATTCCAGAACAATCCAGGTGGATAAGCTTCTGAATTCTCATCTACCTTCCCTTTATGCCAGGCCCAATCAGGCTGCCTGTCCCAATTTTTCAAGTTTCTTTTTCCCTTGGGTGGTAGGGAGGTGGTCAGGGATCTCCCCAAGGAGTTTAAAGTGGCTCTGGTACCTTCCCTAATCCAACACATTCCCTGGATCATCTCTACACGCCCTGGAAGTCCCTCAGGGCCCTAGTTGGAAAGCACCCCACCCAGTCCAAACCAAGACTCTACAGTTGCAGTATACCTAGTCCATCCTCCCAACATCCCTCTTCAAAGCCTGTAGCTCCAGGTCCCTCAGGAACCCCTGGGTTGATGAGGTTGTTTCAAGGGACAGTTTCCAAAACAAAAAAGGATAGTCTGTTCCAGTTTGTTCTTGGAGGTATGTCTGTCCTCTTTCTTAACTGTGTGATCTTGGGCAAGTCAACTAGGCACTCTGGGCCTGTTTCCACAATTGTGCAAGGAGGAGATCAGACGGTTTAGATTACTTTTAAGGGCTCTCCAATTTAGTCACACTGCTCTTCCACACCTCTGGACAGGGAGCTCACTACCTATAGTTTTGCCCCCCAGACAGCTTTAACTTCCTCACACATACTACTTAGTAGAAAACTGCTTGCTTAAGAGTATTCCTACCTCACATCCAAAGTTCCTAGAGATTTTTTTCAGCAGACACTCCCATCACATTTAATGGCTGCCTATAAGCACCCTGTTCAGCACTTAATAATATACATTGTTTCTTTCAATATAATTCCATGAAGTGGCACTATAGGCTGTGTTTCCATTTTACATAAGAGGAAAAGAGTTTAAGATGGTTAAAAACACTTACTCAAAGTCACAGGCTAATAACTGGCAGAGCTGAGATTCGAAACTAGTCTATGGGGTTCCAAGGCTACCCCATGCCTCCATCCGCAGCACCTGGGAGGAATCCTGACCAGGAGGCCCTGCAGAGTAAAGAAGGGAGAGCTTAATCCCTACACACCTCGCTCCACGCTGGGGAGGGGAAGGAAGGAGGTCAGTTCAGGACATCCGGACAGAAGCAGTTCCTGGGATACAGAGAGTGTGCGGGAAGAAGGCAGGCACCAGGACCCGAGAGATTCGGCCCGCTCCTGAAGCGGCTAGACCGCGTGGCCTAACTTCCCGAATGGGGCTGCCGCGCGGGCGGGTATAGCCATCCCTATACTTACCCAAGCACTAGTGACGAAGAGGCCGCACCAGCGCAGTACGGGAACTTGGGGGTTCCAGGAGAGAGGCCCCGCCGGGCCGGGGGCTAGCAGCTGGGGGCCTGCCGGAGCTGCAAGGGCGCGGGGCGGAGCCGGCGCGCGCGGGGCGGAACTTAGGGAGGAAACTGCTCCCCCACCGATTGTGGGCTCTTCCCGGCTTCTAGGGACCCAGACCCCTGGCTCTTCCCCCTTAATCTGGCGTCCCCACAAACCATGTCCCTCCAGCCCTGATCGGCCCCAGTAATTCTGCTTTAATGTTGTTGTTTTATTTTGTTGGTACCGGGGATTGACCCCAGGGGCACTTAAACGAGTGAGCCACATCCCCAGCCCTTTTTATTTTTTTATTTTGAGACAGGATCTCGCTAAATTGTTGAGGCTGGCTTTGAACTTGCGATCCTCCTGCCTCAGTTTCCCCAGTTGCTGGAATTACAGGCACGCGCCCGGCGCCACTAATTCTGGCAGCGTGAGGGCAGTCAGACATCTAGGAGTGAAGTGCTGGATAAGTTACTTTGTCACCTTACCTCTCGGCCGCGTCCCCATCACCTGTTGAAAGAACATAAAGTTAATCGAACAGGACCCCGATTTCTGTCATTCCCTGACCCCAGTTTCTCCTGTCTTCCACCCACATCCTAAATGAATTATCCCGTCTCGCCCTTCTGAAATATTAAGGCTGATTTGCCCCAGCTTCGGCGCCCCTCCTCCAAACCTTGCTCCTCTGAGCTGGTTGGGGCATTTCATTCTGGGGAAGAGCACCTTGCAGGCTCTGAGACCCTGTGAGGCTCACCCCGAAAATTCTGGGCCAGTGATGTTCCCACATTTGAACAGGAGAGGGCGCTCTGTCTTGTCTAACAAAAGCATAGGGAGAGAGGATCTGCCCAAGCCTTGGGTCTTCCCACAAAGAGGGTTGATCCCAGAAATCAACTCCCAGGTTCCTTCCCCAAGCTGGTCCCTGGCTCCTTTGCAAAGACCATTCTATTCCACAAGAACCGAGAATGAGGGAACAAAAGCAGTGCGTGGAGGATTTCTGAACTAGACAAGGTTAACATCACACCTTTCTCATTTAAATCCTCAAAGTAATAATTAACACGTTCTGAGCACTCACTATATCCCACTCACTTTTCTACATGTTATGTGTTATTTAATCTTCATAAAAATCCTGTGAAGTAGACACTATTAACATCTCCATTTTCCAATGGAAAATAGAAGGTACCTTACCTACTCAGCTAGTAAATATCAGAACCAGGATTCCATCCTGGCACCTGAGGTCATTCCCTCAATCACTATATACTGCTGGTCCCATAAGATAATTATAATTGCCACTTTGCAGAATGGGAGACAGGCTCAAATTTATCAACTTGCCAGAACTCTTTTTCATGCATTTAGTCTTGTTCATTCATGCCAGGCCCTCTCTGTGGTAGACACTTGTAGGGGACCCACAGACATATTTTAGACTCACTCGTTGAGACTTCAAACCTGGAGGGATGGTGTCTTGTTCTAAAATAAGACTTTAAATTCTCCCCACCCTGTTCTTTTTAAAAAAAATATGTATTTTTTAGTTGCACACAATATCTTTATTTTGTTTATTTTTATGTGGTGCTGAGGATTGAACCCAGGGCCTCTCACATGCTAGGTAAGCGCTCTACCACTGAGCCACAATCCCAGCCCACTACCCTGTACTTAAGAGTTAGGGCTCAGAGAAAAATGATTACTAAAACTCTACTTAAAAGAACCACTTCCATCTGATTTCAACAAATAAATTTTGGTTTTCTTAGAACTTTGTGTCATCCTCCTTGCCTTCCTTCACTCTGTATATGCCTGCTTCTGGCCCATTTGCCTGAACCCTGACATTCTCTAATCTTGCCTTTAATTCTCTGGTGACCTGGGCAATGTGGGCCCTTTTAGTCCTGAGCCTTAATTTCTCCGTCGTAAAATTGTTTTAGGACTATCTACATCATACAGTTGTTGTGAGAATCAGAGCAATGTGCCAGGCATGTGGAAGGCACCCAATGCATGGTGGTTATTAAACCAGATGTGTGAGCTGCAGTTTGAACTCATCCTGGCTGAGCCTTCTCTGAATGATCTGACCTTGGCTGTCACTGATTCACTCTAAATATGTTTCTTCTCCTGTCAGTTTGAAAGGAAGAATGGGTTCTTCCTATGTGCCAGGGACTTTATGTCCACTCTTTCATTTGATCCTCAATAAATCTGGTGAGGTAAATTTAATGAAATACATTTTATAGCTAAAGAAGTTGAATGACCACTTGAGCTTCTACTCTTGCCCTCATTCAATAGGCACTCAGTGTTTGCTGAACTGGCCTTTGTCCATTGTCCATGTAGCTGCTG